GGCGCCGCGTGAGTGGCACGACACATTGAGGACTACACTTGCGGCTCTTGGGTTCGCTCCTTCTACTGCTGACCCGTCGCTGTTTCTACGCACCGACACCTCGCTGCCGCCGTTCTACATCCTCGTGTACGTCGACGACTTGGTCTTTGCCACTGCTGACACTGCGGCACTCGCCCACGTGAAGTCGGAGCTGTAGAAGAGACACACTTGCACAGACCTGGGTGAACTGACAAGCTATCTTGGCTTGCGGATCACCCGGGACAGAGCACGGCGCACCATTACCTTGACTCAGTCACACATGGTGCAGCAGATCCTTCAGCGCTTCCGCTTCACGTACTCCTCGCCACAGTCCACTCCTCTGCCTACAGGTCACTCGCTCTCAGCTCTGCCTTCGGATGAGTCCGTAGAGCCGAGTGGCCCGTATCCAGAGCTTGTGGGCTGCCTCATGTACCTGATGACCTGCACTCGACCTGACCTTGCATACCCTCTTAGCATCCTTGCACGCTATGTCGCTCCTGGCCGTCACAGGAAGGAGCACATGGATGCTGCTAAGAGGGTGTTGCGCTACTTGTGCAGTACGTCGGGCATGGGGCTAGTGCTTGGAGGGCGAGACCGAGTTGTACTCACTGGTCACTCAGACGCTTCTTGGGCGGACGACCAGGCTACTCAGCGGTCGTCTCAGGGTTACACCTTCAGCCTTGGCTCCGGCTCAGTTTCTTGGCGTTCCACACGCTCTTCTTCTGTTCTCAGCTCCAGTTGTGAGGCTGAGATCTACGCCACAGCCATGGCGGCCCAGGAGCTACGCTGGCTGACCTACCTGCTGACCGACTTGGGAGAGCGGCCTCGTTCTCCTCCAGTGCTGTACGTCGACAACAAGGCTGCCATTGCCTTGTGTGAGGAGCACAGACTGGAGCACAGAACGAAGCACATCGCCCTGCGGTACTTCCTTGCTCGAGAGCTGCAGTAGCGCGGTCAGCTTTGTCTGTGTTACGTGGCCACTGAGGCCAACACTGCTGATGTGTTCACCAAGGCGCTTCAGCCTTGTGACCATCAGCGCTTCTGTACTCTTCTAGGCCTTGTGCCTGCTTGCTTACTTCTTGACTCTGTTTGTACTGTGATCTCTATATATATACCTGCATGCTTACACTTGCTAGGTTGCGATCACTGTATCTCTTGCTATATTATCAAACTGCATGTGAACTGGTCTTGTGACCGCTTGCTTGTGCTCGGAATTTGTGTGGTATCCTTGAGATCCACCCTGAGCCTGTTTTGCTTTGCTTTGCTTTGACTGGTCTTGTGACCCTCTGGTTGTCACCCACTTTGCCTATGGGGGTGTGTCAAACATTGTATGTTTATATTGTGTAGGCTATAGTGGGTTTAGCCTTAGAGGGTACACAAACTTAGGGTTTCATACTTGTACCCACCTTCCTGCTAGTTCATCCATTCTCGTTCTATTCTAGATTCTGACAGAGCAAAGTATGAGTCGGGGGAAAGCAAGGAGGAGGTAATGGGTTGCAGGGTCTTGAGGGAAGATAACAAGACGACGAATTGGTATGAGTAGAGCATCTAGGACCAGCAGGCGAGTTTGCGGCGGGATCTGGCGCAGCAGTAAGCCAGGAGTAATGGTGGAACTGAAGAACGTCCCTCAGTCCCAGCTTATGATAGCTTCTCATGTCTGTTGATAAATCTGCGGGGGTGCTGAAGAGGGGTGGGGAGGTAGCGGTGGCACGAGGAGGAGGAGGGCGGCCTGACGGGCTGAATTGTTGCGGGAGCAAGTAGAGAGGTGACGAGTGAAGCCGGCCAAGCTGGTGAAGTTGGTACCATAAAGTGCCACCTATAGGACCCGCCGGTAAGAGGGTCCCCCGGGACTCTTGAACGGGTAGGGGGACTCTTATTGTGGCAGGTTTTGTGAGGACCCCCTTTCTGCCCCTAATCATCATAAGACCCCCCTTTTCTGTATACAGTATTTGTTATTGCTATTGTGAGTCAGCTTTTATTGGCAAGAAATTGATTTCTGACGCGCCTTTTGTGTCAGACTCAAATTTTGACACTTTGTTTGTGTCAGACTCAAATTCTGACACGGAGCTGACGCGCCACTCTTGCGAAACCTGTGCACGAAGGCTGTTTTTTAATACGAATATAAGACCCCCTCATCCCAAATTAAGTCGTACACCCTAAAAAACAGAATAATAGTTGTTAAATAGGTTTACCCTGGGTTTTAAAAAATTGCAACCGCCATAATGTCCACCATAGCTTTTTTTTAAGCATTTGTAGAGAGTCTCACGGGCCCTAAAGGCAGCACTTTACGGTATGTTTGCAGGTGGAACAGCGATATCTTGGGGCCGGAGCCGAGGTGGATAACGGAGACGAAGCAGCGGCCGTAGCAGGGTGTGAAGCAGATGTGGAAGCAGCAGGAGGAGAAGAAGTAGGAGAAGGCTGTGAAGTAGGTGCAGCTGTTGGTTCAAGATGCCGAGAAGAGTGTTGTTGGGAGGAGGGTAAAGTGTATGCAAGGACTTGATGGAGTACGTCTTTCTGCTCCTTTGAAATGAAGCGGGGTGAGGATGATGATTTGGGGTGTTGAGACGAAGTGGCTGGGGGGTGTGGGGCAGATGATTCTGACAGTGACGAGGAAGTGTGTGTGACGGTTGGTTTAGTAGGTCAAGATTGTGTGTATGGAGCCTGTTGAATCGGTAGGGCCGCAAAAGCTGGGGTTGACCGTGATCGATTAGGAGGACGCCATGGGTGGGGGTCCGAGTGGCGTCCTGTCCCGCTTGCGAGTCGGCATGTGTTATTTTTGGTTTTTTTATATTGAAGTGTCATATTGCGTGTACCACACTGCATATTTGCAGTAAGTGTACACCGGTGTGCTGGATCGATGTGGGCGAATCCGTGCACAGCAGCTGTGCACAACAGCTGTGCCACAGCTCCGTTCCTCCCACGATCCTGGCTTCATCTCTAGAGCTGACGCGCAGGGCTCATTTTTGGTTTCAAGCCACTATTCCAGAAAAGAGTGAAATCCGGGCGCCCCTCGGCTGGGCCGAGTGGCTCGCTGCAAAATCCGGGTAAGGCCGGGTGAAAAGTTTGTTCACTCTTTCTTGTAGACACTTGTATGTGCAGTCACATCTCGAGGACTTAGCAAAAATTCCATGCTCATCCAATCTTCATACCATCAGCGAATGACCTAGCCAAATCCCATGCTCACCCATTCATTCTTCGACTCGCAGACAAGGACTTAGGCGTTTTCAAGTCAGAGGTTCACATTTTTGGCGAAGTACATAAGTGACACAGTAGGGGCAAAATCTGTAATATTCTACAGAATGGCCGAGCGAGAATTCAGCAATGCGGCCACAGCAGCCTAAAAAAAATTCGAACACGGAAGCGGGCCGAGTCACAATCGTGGAACCCGTTTTTTGCCGGGTGGGCAGAAAAATCCACCCGGATTTGAATAGTAGTCCGGGTAAATCATTCTGCAAAAATAGGCCCTGGTGACGCGTCCTTACAGCTACACCCTGGAAGTACTACAACAAGGCTGAGCTGAATTTTTTGCCCAACCACGCAACTCCAAATTTGCCAGGTTGGATTCAACCAGAATAGAAACGGGGGGGGGGGGGTTGGGGAGTGGAGAAGTTGGGAGGGGGAGGGGTGGGCCTCGAACGATTTTATTCCAGGGCTCGCCTAAATTCTACCGTTTACACACCAGGCCTAAGACCAAAATCAGCCCTGTAAGGAATCAGGGCCATAATTTTTTCAACCTATCAGATTCAGTTTCCAAGGGCAGTTCAGCCCTGGAATTCAAGGTCCAGCAGGGCAAACGCCCATGGGCACAATTTTACCCGGCCTTACCGGGCTTTTTTGGCGCGCCACTCGGCCTGGTGGGATGGCCGCCACACCAGTTCCCAGATTTCTCTCCTCGCCAATTTGCCATTCGATTCGCGTCTCCCAATTTCTAGCACTGTAACTGGTTCCAAGCTCAGTTCTCAATGTCTTTCACGCGTTGTACTCCAGTGCCACACCAAAAACCTGGCACCGCCAGTTCTTATGGCAAGGGCATCCCTGATGACGTTCTCGTGTGCTAAGCAGCACCCTGGCGTCGTCCCACGGACGCTACTACTAATCCCCACTATGGCGGCGCTCATTTGCGTTGCTCTCCGCGCTGTTCTCGTCATCGCCTTCCCCCTCCGCTCATTTTCTTCTCATGATTCAGACGTGCTGGTCACTGGTCAGGTTGTACACAGCGGCTGGTTCAACAAGGCGTACTTACAATATAGCATCGGTGAAACTGCGACACATAGTAGTACAAATAATAGCATCAATGGAAGTATTGTGGCGTTCAACTCACACGCCGCTGAGATAAAGCGCTACAAGATAAAGTGTTTTTCTTTGACAGAATCTGGCCCCGAGCCGCGAAATCCGAGGCCTCCGCTTCTCCAATCAATAGTGATACCACTGAAGATTGCGGCAGCGTTTTGGAGCAGAATGAGTCTGGTGGCTGCGGCGTTACTGCAGTGGCATCGTGTGCCACCTGCACATCATTGATGGCATCTCGGCGGTTGGCAACGGATGATGATGCCGCTACGAGCGACAATGGATCGGACGAGGGAATAATAGAAAAGGAACGGCAGGGGAAACGGGCGGGTGGCTCACCAGTGAGCCTCAATCGATCCCGTACTTCCGAAGGCTCGTCGGGGGAGGTACGGGAAAAGACAGGCCGCGTTGCAGAAAATAACACGACTGAACAGGGGGAGGAGAAGGAGCAGCAGCAGGAAGAGGAGAAGGGGGAGGGGAAGGCGAATGAGGAGGATGAGGAGGAGGAGGAGACAGGGGTGCGTCATATTCTCTTCAACATCGCATCATCCAAAGCCAGCTTCACGAAGCGCGTGCGCTACATACGCGCCTGGTGGCGGTCCAACGGTCCGGACTCCGCCTCTGCCTCTACCTCTGTCACTGCCTCAGCCTCCGGCGCCTTTGCCGCGGAAGAGCCTCTCCGCGGCTACGTGTGGATGGATGACATGGCTGGTATTTCCAAGGCGCTCCGTTGCGGCGTACGTGGCACGCCACGTGTGCGCTTGAGCAGCAGCGCGGCGCATCTGAGTTACCGAGGGGTGGCGATTCGGGATTATGTGCGCATGGCGCGGGTCGTGATGGACACATACAGACTCGGCGAGAAAGGCGTGCGATGGTGCGTCTCCACTCACTCACTCACTTCCCTCGCTCGCTCTCTCACTCCTAAATTCGTCTCCCTCCCTATATCGCGAAAAACAATGGAGATAAAAATGTGCACGTGTTGTTTCTTTCGGGAAAGCTGCGGAAAACTCTCGAAAAAAGTCCCAACCGCCGAAGTTGCATGAAAGTGACCTAGGTGAAGCAACCATGAAGTGGCGAAAATGTTGATTTCGCCACTCTCACGTCCGCGCTCACCCACATGGTGTTCGCCTTTCTAGGAAGGGGCGAAGACCACGAAATGTTACAGATCTGACCGGAAGTTTAAAAATTCGAAAATCAAACAACCCACCAATCAACCAGCACCGCGACTCACTCCCTCACTCCCTCTCTTTGACGCTCTCTCTCTCCGCCGCCCCTCTCATTCCGCCATTTGTAAACACTGCGACCGCAACAGCAGCAGCAGCGGCGGCGGCGGCGGCGGCGGCATGAGAAGAGAATCAAGAAATTCGTGCGCGTAATAGTAATGATATCCCCGGGCCATTCCACAAAACTAAGCATAGGAGTTTCGAAATGATGATAGTAATGATATCCCCGGACCGTCTCAAACGTGGCTCGCTCCATCTCATTCACTCCTCCACCAATCAGATCGTGATGGGCGACGACGACACCTTCTTCAGCCCGCGCGCCATAGCAGCCTTCCTACGGCAGTACGACCACCGCGCACTGCTCTACTTAGGATCCACCTCCGAGACGCACGCGCAGAACGTGGAGTTCAATCGCGCCATGGCGTATGGCGGCGGGGGTTCGCCGTGTCCGCGGCGCTGGCGCGCGCATTGAGCGAGGGAGAGGGCATGGATCCATGCCTGGAGAGGCATGCGGAGCTGCGGGGGAGCGACGAGCGCGTGGCTGCTTGTATCAGCGAGCTGGGTGTGAGTGTCTTCCTAGCGTGGCTCGGGTCGCTTTGATACGAGTCGCTTCGACTTTCTTGGCCTGTCCTGTCTTGCCCTGACCTGCGCTGTCATATCTGTCTTGATCGTGGCTGAGTAAATGAATCAGCAGTGGCTTCACCACAATCCAACCGCTGCTCTCCTTCCGTGTGTCTTGCATGCGTCGCCCTCTGAAACTTTCTCCTCTTTTCCCCACCTCCCGCCTCCATTCCCTTCCCCACTTCCCCTTTATTCCCCCCTCTTCCACACCCTTTCCCTTCCTTACCTTGAACCCACACCTCAAACGTGCTCCTTTGCAGGTTTCTCTAACTCCGGCACCCGGCTTCCACCAGTGCGACTTGCACCGCAATCTCTTCGGGCTGCTCATGTCACACCCCGCACAGCCGCTCCTCTCCCTCCACCACTTTGACACATTGGACCCGATTCTGCAACCCATTGGCATTAAAGACCGCGCGCAGGGGCTTGCCATGCTGGCACAACGGATAAGGCCCGACCCAGTCGGGTTTGCACAGCTGGCAGTGTGTGGGGACGGGTGAGTGGGGAAGGATGACGGGGGAGAAGATGGGGAAGGAATGGTGAGGTACGAGACGCTACAAGCAAGCAAGGAAAGAGAGCTTGTATAACAGATTGGGGCAGATGGGATGGGGGGTAGAGTGAGGCCAATTGAACCAGAAGTCCAACCTATGACATGGCGAAATTGATGAATGGGTTGACTGCATCCCTCATCCCTCCGTCATCCCTCCCTCACCCCCCCCTCATCCATCCCTCTCCCCTCTCCCCGTCTGCCTTGTGCGTGGCTGCTGCAGCGCCAAATGGACAGCAGCCATCTCGTGGGGGTTCGCCATCAAGATCTACCCCGGGGTACGTGGGGATCAGGGCCACCTTGTCTCACCTGCACATGACACCATTTGCCATCTTGTGACGCGTTGCCGTCAAGCTCTACCCTGGGGTACGTGTGATCCTGGTGGGAGGTGTGAAGTAGAGCAGCGAGCAGGAGGTTTGAAACTTCTCATGACTAGGTTTTACCCAGGCGGGAGGAGTGTGGGAGAGTTCCTGGGACATGTTACCTCAGGGCTAAAGTGCTTAGGAGTCGCTATGTGCGCTCTGAGTTAGGAAACGTGAGGAGACGAGCTGACTTTCGAGTCGGGTGAATATCTTTCTCCCATGTGCGGTTGCTAACAGTTCTGAAACGCATTTGTGAGGCGCCTCATAGGGAGACCCTTCCACCTGCCGCCCACATGTCTCGTCTCTCTCGCGTGGTGCATGGCAGGTGCAGCAGCTGGCGGAGCTGGATCACATTTGCGAGGCACCTCAAGTGAAGATCTTCCCACCGCCTGCCCCTGTGTGTCTCCCACGTGGCACAACACAGGTGGGGTTGTTATAAAAGCTGGAGCCAAGAGTCCCTTTCACCTCCCCCATGCATGTCTCTCGCATGTGGTGCATGGCAGGTGCGGCAACACATTTGCGAGACGCCGAAAGGGTACGACCCTTCCACCTCAAGTGATATGTGCAAGACTAGTCTCTCCTTTACATGTCTCTCCCACGTGGCACATGGCAGGTGCGGCAGCTGTCGGAGTTGGAGCGGGCAGAGCGCACGTTTAAGTCGTACCGGTGGAACAAGCGTGCCCACGCGTTCACCCTTGACACGCGCCGCCGGGAGGTACACCTGAGTGCGGGTGTGAGGGTGTGGGAATGTGAGGACGAGTGAGTGTGTGGGGTGTGGGAGTGTGAGGGGTGTGTGTGCGTGTGCTGTGTGGGTGCATCAACAGTCAAGCAGTTAAATTATATGAAGTGCTGTACAATGTGCCTCTCTGTTGTTTTTTCTTTTCACCAACTAATGCACCCCACATCACACCCCCTCTCCCACCTGCAACCCCATCCCCAACCTCACACCCGGCCACGCCCCTAACCCCACTTCCACTTTCTTGACACAGCCCGATGCGCCTGCGTACAAGCCATGTGCGCTGCCTTTCACACTGTACGCCACTCACGTGGGCCCATTGCAACACTCCTTCAACGACAGAAGCCCCGTCAACGACACACATGCTCGTCCTATCAGCACTTTTGTTGGTTTCAGTGCTGTATCACAATCCAGGGGTATAAGCAGCGAGAGGAGAAAAGAGCAGATGCCTGTTGTGAGTGTGTACAAGCGCACATCACTTGGAGGCACCGCACGCGACCGCTCGCACTGCCCTCTTCCAATATCCAGAGTGACATCAGCATATGCTATCAGACCAGAAGGGCCAATGTGGCCAGAACGTGCTATTTATCGCAAGCATAGGGAAGGGGGATGGTCAGGGTCTAATATGAGAAGACAGAGATGCTCCAAAATTCATATCTTCAAAGATTCGCTAACCATTTGGTTAGAGAGCTAGCAAAAGAATATTGCATTCGTTATTGGAGCAGCAAAAAATTCCAAAGGTCCATGGAAAAATATTCTTCCACCATGCTAGCTGGAGCAGGCCCCAGATTTGAAGGGAAAATTACTTTGATTGCCTTCACTATGGACTGATTTTGAGAGGATACTGTTAAGAAGGTAGGGACTAGGAACTTAGAGAGCTAGGAACTTAGGGTTTGGATGGAGAGAAGTTTGGCCAAAGGAAGGGGTTGGACTAGTGAGAGAGATACATGATATAGGGTTAGGGAAGGTGGTCAGGAGGGGTATACCACCAACAAGAGAATACATACTACACTAGCTATACTAATATGCAGTTATATAAAGAAATACAATTTCTGACATCCCCCCTTAACTGCATACAAGCATAGCCAATGAGAGGCGCTCTACCCTAAGTGCAGTCGTCACCGTGCCGCAGCTGGGCCCACCGATACAACACACGATGGAATGCCCGCCTGCGGTTTAACCCCCGCAGTGGATGCCCGGTGTGCGCGACTCTGGGTGACCACGCCCAGAAACGACTGAGAAAAGAACGAACCACGAGAATACATTACGAAAGTAAAAAACAGGAAAGAAGACACCCTTTCTCTCTCTCTCTCTCTCATTCTTCCCCCCTTTTAACCTCTCTCATCCCCCCTTAACCTCTCTCATCCCCCCTTACCCTCTCTCCCCCCCCCCCCCCCTACAGCAACAAGTGCTGCAGGGAGAGAGGAAGAGGGAAGGGAGGGAGGAGGTGCTGGCTCCTCACAACCTCACACCCGCCACCCCCACATCTCCCCCTCCTCCCCCCCCCCCCACGACGGAAGCAGTGGAAGGGAGGGCGGGCGGGAGGGGGCAGGGCGGCGGTAGCTGCTGCTGGCGCTGGCGGTAGCTGCTGCTGGCGCTGGCGGTAGCTGCTGCTGGCGCTGGCGGTAGCTGCTGCTGGCGCTGGCGCGGGCGGCTGGCGCTGGCGGTAGCTGCTGCTGGCGCTGGCGCGGGCGGCTGGCCGCGGTGGGGCGGCTGGCTGCTGCTGGCGCTGGCGGTAGCTGCTGCTGGCGCTGGCGGTGGCGGCTGGCCGCGGTGGTGGCGTCCGCGCTGACGGGCCACGCTGGCGGCGGCGCCTGCGGTCCGGGCTGGCGCGGGCGCTGGCGACGGAACGGGGGGCCGCGGGGCGTCGAAACGGGGGGCCGCGGGGGACGGGAATCGGGGCAGCGACGGGCACGACGGGCAACGCAGCGACGGGCGTGACGGGCAAGGCAGCGACGGGTGACGGGCGACGGGCGCAACGGGCGCGACGAGAAAAAATAGCGCATTTCGCGCTGTTGTACGGGCGGGCCCATAATTAAAAAAAAAAAAAAGGAAGGTTCCGGGAAAGAACCTGCTCTGTACCATGTTAAGAAGGTAGGGACTAGGAACTTAGAGAGCTAGGAACTTAGGGTTTGGATGGAGAGAAGTTTGGCCAAAAGAAGGGCTTGGACTAGTGAGAGAGATACATGATATAGGGTTAGGGAAGGTGGTCAGGAGGGGTATACCACCAACAAGAGAATACATACTACACTAGCTATACTAATATGCAGTTATATAAAGAAATACAATTTCTAACAGATACTTACAACATACACATGCATGCAGTATATGCATATGTAGGTTAAAGGATAGTTTGTATACCACCCACTTTGTATATCCTTATTCCGTTTTAGATATCTGACATGGTATCACATGATTACGGTACCGTCATCGCCCGGATATAAGACACATATGTCTTATCTCGTACACTACTCAAAATGCTTGAGTTATCTTGTATTTGGGATGGTTTAGGGTGTCTTATAAGTCTTATAAATGGAAAATTTTCTAAGTAGTCTGTAACATTTGCAAAGTGTCTAAGTAGAAACCATCAGGGGCCAGATTCATTGAAACAGGCCGACCTCGGTGGTGATGCATGCAGCGCCCACACTTGCCACGTGACGGATGCAGCAAAGCTGCCACCGCTGGCAACATTCCTCCGTGCTGACAGCATCTAATGATGCTGCCAGCGTCGTTTTGCTGCCAGCAGCGCATGGATGCTTCCAGAACGCTGCTGGCAGCACGATGGCAGCGTGAGGGCTGTCCTCTACGAGGAGATGCCTCGTAGAGGAGCGTCTCGGCTCCTTTGAAAGGGGCACTCTGGCTGGGGGGGGGGGGTAGTCGGGCTCTTGCTTCATTTGGTGCTCAAGGAGGTTGAATACTCAACTCAAAGTACCCGTAGGCTTGTCCTCAGCTCGTCCTCGCGTGCACGTGAATAACTACGGGCGAATTAACTAGCCCGGCGATGACATCCGTGTAGTCATGGCAAAGAACGCGAGCAAGGCGGGAAGATCTACTGCCGCCTCCGGTGCGAGCTGTGACGGGGACGACGGCGGCTAAGAACACGTCGACGATACCGAGGAGGATTGGCCGGAGAACGGCCGCGACGACAGCGCTTCGGGGGACGAATTGGCTCCTGCCGACATCGAGGAGGACGAATGGTGGAATCGGCCGGTCGGGAGTGACGACGAAGTGGAAGAGTGGCGGGCTGTTGGTTCGGACAACGACGGAGGCGCCGATGCTGATGGTGACCACGAGGAGGTAGCGGCGCATGCACCGGATGCGAATGCGGAGGCTGGCGACGAGGTGGAAGCGGATGCCGAGGCAGTTGCGTTGCGGAGGTGGCCGCCATTGCGGATGCGGATGCTGTGGCGGAGGCGGATAACGTTGCTGTGGAGGGAGATCTGAGCATTTGTCACCATGGTGCGGATGCCGTCTTATTTGACAGTGAAAGCGAGGACGACGACCCGTGGAGCATAGTGGCAGACGACAATGTTCCGCTACTGAAGCGGAGGCTGTGCCATCGCCTACAGTCCAACCCGAAGCGTGCCCGCGTGGTGCTCTCTGACGACGACAGCCCGGGGGAGGAGCGTCGCCCGATACTTACCGCTACAGAGAAGGGTAAAACCAAGGTCGCGGAAGCCCCTGCTAAGGCCACTGCTCGTCGCCGCACAAGCAACAAGAAGCGAAAAACCGACAGCGACCCTGGATCCAACAAGGGTGTTGCTAAGAAGAAGGCGAAGAAGACGCCAAATCCGGACGACATCGTGGTCAACGAGACGCTGGGCAGCGACGATGAATACGCGGAAGCGGCGGGCCCGATTCCTTCATTCCCTGAGAAGCCCACGCCGAAAGACTCCACCCTCAATAATCCCAACACCCGCCCACCTTCCCCTCGCAGCAAGGACACTTCAAAAAAACGACGCGGATGGACCGTGCGCGAGAAGTTGAAGTGGGCGTGCCGCTATCAGGAGCTCGGCTCCTTGAAGAAGACGAGCTTGGAATCAACCGCATCCATCGCCTGCATCAGACGCTAGAGTGCGGAGGCGGCTGCGGGCTTCTACAAGGGAGAGGCGAACTGCCTCAAGCGGATGCACGGGGGGGGGGGGCGCCACACACACTACCCCGACATGGAGGAGGCGCTGTACCGCTACGTCTGTCTGCATCGCGCTAACGGGGTGGCCATCTCGGTGAAGGACACCCAGAAGTGGAGCCGCGAGTGGATGAAGAAACACCACCCCGACAAGAACTGGAACGCGAGCTCTCACCGGAGCCAGCGTTTCTGTGACGTCGGAACCTGGTCATGCGGGTGAAGACCAAGGTCGGCCAACGTCTATCGGCAGGTAAGTGGTGAAGGAATTTGTTACGCGCTCGATGCTTGACTCCATGATCCTCGCCCAGTTTCCAACCATACCTTGCTTCTGTGGCTTTTGTTCCGTGTGCAGAGTGCGCGAAGGACTGCGAGTCCTTCTGGAAGTTCGTGCGCATCAACAGAGCATGGCACAACATCGACCTAGCCCGCATCATCAATGTGGACCAGACTCCACAATTCGTGGAGATGCCGGCCGAGAGGACGATCGAGCACCGTGGCGCGCGCTCGGTCCCAATCCGCACTGCAGGCTACCAAAAGACGCGCCTGACGGTGATGCTTGCGTGCACCACATCCACGGAGAAGCTGCGGCTGTGGGTGTGGTTCAAGCTGAAGAACGTGCCCAATTATGAGATTCCGGAAGGTAAGGCCAAGGAATTCACAAGCCGAATGCCTGATGACCTTACCCTCGTTGGCTGATGCCCGTTTGTCCAATATGCGCCTGGCAGGAATCGTGGTCCAAGCACAGGACAACGGGTGGATGGACGAGAGCGCTATGCAGGCCTAGCTGACGAAGGAGGTGCTGCCCCATCTTAACCCCCAGCGCGGCCAGAACGCGAGGCGTGCGATGCTGGTGTTGGACTCCTACCGAGGCCATATCATCCAGAGCATGCTTCATTCGTACCACACGCACAGCATCGCCCCTGCAGTTATCCCAGCGGGTTGTACGAGCCAGATTCAACCCCTGGACGTCTCCATCAACCGGTGCTTCAAGGCTGCCGTGCGAGCGCGCTACGCCAGGTGGTTCATGTGTGAAGAAATTCACCTGATGACAAAGAAGGGTGAGTATACAGTACCTCCGGTTTGAATCTCTGTTCTGTTTCCTGTCCATGTCTCTAACGACTCGCTGCCCCTGCCTCTGTGCCACCTGCACGGAACCCGCAGAGGCCTCCGCACCCCGTGGTGCTGCAGTGGATCGCGGAGGCTTGGGATCAAATTCCCAAGCAGGTGATCATCGACGCGTTCCGCCACTGTGGGATCTCAAGCAAGCTAGACGGAAGGGAGAACCACCTGGTGATGTCGCATCTGCGCGCCAGGAGCACCACCGACGTATCCGAGGACATGTGCCTCGGGGGGACCACAGGCGACAACACGCGCCTGCTTGGGCAGGCTCCAGAGGAGGAGGAGGAGGAGGAGGAGGAGGAGGAGGAGGAGGAGGAGGAGGAGGAGCAGGAGGGGATGCAGGCGGAGGGCGTGAGGGAGGTGGCCGTGGCAACTGGCTTGGAGGTGCTGTACCAGGAGACCCCCGACTACTGCGGAGCGGTGGCCGAGGCTGGCCACATGATCGAGCCTAGGGAGACGGCTAGGCATGCCTGGCGAGTGCCAGATCTGCGTGTTAGAGAGCCTGCTGTTAGTGCAGGTGAGGAGGCGGTGACTGAGGGGGGCTAGGTAGAAGTAGAGATTCATGGATGTATGCATGTACCTCCTTAATGAAAGCAAGGACCGTTTAGAGAAAACACCCCCTATTTATAAGAAAACCCCTAAACCCCGGTTCTGATTATAAGACATATATGTCTTATCTCATACACACAAAGAGGTGTCTTATATCAAGGCTAGCCTGTTTATAAGAGACACCCAGATAATAGACAACCTCTGCGCACCCCGAGCACGCGCTCCTTCACTGCCCGTAGCGAGCCCGTAGGGCGCGTCGTTCGTCCTGCCCTGCACCCCTCGGTCGTTTTCTGCACATGTCGTGCCTTTGTGCTTGGAGGACAGGGCCGAGTTGTCCTCAAAGGTCACTCGGACGCTTCTTGGGCAGACGACCAGGAGGCTCAGCGGTCGTCACATGGTTACGCTTTCAGTCTCAGCTCTAAATCAGTCTCCTGGAGGTCCACCCGCTCGTCTTCTGTTCTCAGCTCCAGTTGTGAGGCTGAGATCTACGTGAGGCCCATGGCTGCAAAGGAGTTACGCTGGCTGATCTACTTGCAAACCGACTTGGATGTGAGGCCTCGATCTCCTCTGAACCTGTATGTCAACAACAAGACCATGATTGCCTTGTGATGGGAGCAGGGATTGGAGCACATAACGAAGCACATCGCGCTTCGTTACTTCCTCACTTGAGAGCTGCAGCAACGTGATCAGCTTCACCTTGCTTACGTGATCATCATCATTTCTGCACTGCTCTTGGTCTTGTGTCTACTCTACGTCATTTACTTACCTCTTGCTTTTGCCGTATACTGTAGCCTGTGTATTCCTTTGCTAGGTTGTGATCACTTGCAGCATGTGCTCGTTATAACTCTGCACGTGAACTGGCCTTGTGGCCATGTGCGTGTGCTCGGACCGTGTGGTGACTTTCTGATCCATCGTGAGCTTTGCTTTGCTTCTTCTCTTGACTGGTCTTGTGACCGCTTGTTGTTTCTGTTAGAATAGCTTCATAACTTGGAACAAGGAGCCTAGGGTTTAGGCTAGGCAAGAGAGTGTCGAGAAGATTGACCAAGCAAAAGAGGGGTTCACTAAGACAAGAGTTAAAAGATATAGCTAGCCAAAGGGTGCAGCACCAAACAGGACAGCTATATAACTACACTACAGCTAGAACTACATGCAATTATACAAACATAAATAAAATATATTCTGACACACCCCCTAAGTGCATGCAGGAATAGCCATGTGCAGAACACCCCCTGAAGTGGTACACCCTGCAGGGCGCAGCAGAAGGTCACAGAGGGCAAGTGAGGAGGAGGAGGGACTATGAGAGGAGAGGAGGTGGTAGGTGGCGGCTGAAGCTGCTGGCACACGGACAATTTGAGCAACTGGCACACTGGCAACTGGAGCAACTGGCACACGGGCAACTGGAGTAACTGGCTCCGCGGCTAGACGAGCGGCTGGAGCAACTGACCCACGGGCGACTGGAGCAACGGGCTCACGGGCGACTGGAGCAACGGGCTCACGGGCGACTAGAGCTGCTAGCTTCACGGCGGCCACCCCCCTTCAACCTCCCCCATTTTCCCAAAACTCCCTTTCACACCCCTCGGCATCCCTACCGCCACTCCCTCGTCTCCCCCACACCCTCCCCTCCCCCCCCCCCCCCACAGCGGCAAGTGCGGCAGTGGGAAAGGCGGAGGGGCGGCAGCTGATTACTCACACCCACCACCCCCATACCCTTCCCCCCACTACTGCACGCGCAGCAGGGAGATGGAGGAGAAGGGGGGGTGGGGGCGGGGGGGTGGGGGAGGGGGGAAGTAGGAGCTGCGTGGGCGACAGCAGGGCACGCGGGCGGGCAAAAACCATCGCGCGTCCCGGGGCGCACGACAGGCAGGAAACCGTTGCGCACCTCGGGGCGCACGACGGGCAGGAAACCCAGGCGCGCGACGGGCACGAAATCGACGCACGCTCGGGGCACGCGACGGGCAGAAAATCAAAGCGCGCCCGGGGCACGCAACGAGTAGAAAACCGACGCGCGCCCGGGGCGCGCGACGGGCAGTAGATTGGCGCATTTAGCGGAAGCTAACGGTTGGCCCAGGATCGATGTGCTCGATACCATGTTAAACTAGCTTCATAACTTAGAACAAGGAGCCTAGGGTTTAGGCTAGGCAAGAAAGTGTCGAGAAGATTGACCAAGCAAAAGAGGGGTTCACTAGGACAAGAGTTACAAGATAGAGCAAGCCAAAGGGTGCACCACCAAACAGGACAGCTATATATAACTACACTACAGCTAGAACTACGGTACATGCAATTATACAGAAATATATAGAATATATTCTGACAGTTTCTTGCTGTCCCCCACTTCGCCTATGGGGATGTGTCAAACTACATATGTTTGTTGTCTAAGCTGTAGTGGGGTAGCCTATAGAGGGTACTACCGATGAGGGTTGGTACTTGTACTCGTTCATTGATGATAGTCATTATTCCGCTGTCTACTCATTCTTAATATAAAAGAAGTATTTTAGGGGGTGCACATAAATACACTGTTTTTTTTTACGTGTCGACGCAAAAACAACAGCAAAAATATAATTTATTTTTGTTTACAGCACGTTCAAAAGAGGATCTAGTCCAGTCGACAATCGTTGAGACTGTGCATGACAACCTGTCAATTGGCCAACAAGGCATGGAATCATGGCTCCTACGCCTTGTTGGCCAGACTAGGTTCATCGAGCATGAACCTGGCCCATGCCAGCACACACATAGTTCAAATCACAACTGCCTGATCAGTGTTCCATGTGGTCTAGGGCACGCCATGGTACAGCCACAATGTGCCCATCTGGGGGAAGGTTCCCCACAACCGAGGCTAGAAGCTGACTAGCTCACCTTCTCTACAGGAAATCTTGATTATGGACCCTCATCCCCTGCAGAGGAACCTGGGCCGCGAAGTTGGAGGAGTCTCTGGAAGGAGTTTCTTATTGCCCTCATTCTTGTCTCTACCTTTAGTTTTCAATTTTGTTTGGCCTGCCTTGGCCATAGCAGATATTCCTGGCACACACTTCTTATTTAGACGCCAACCTGCTACTAGGGAAATGCCAGAACTTCAAACAGCGGAATGAATTGAACAAACAAGGGTTGGGTACAAATAGCAAACCCCAACAATGTTATACTCCCTACTGCATCCCTCACTATAGCCTATCACAAACATAAATAACAATTGACACACCCTCATAGGCTAAGAAATGGATAGCTAGAGAGAGCAAGAACTAGTGGTCACAAGACCAGTCAAGAGAAGTAACAAACTAACGCTAAGGGTGGATCTCAAGATCATCACACAGTCCGAGCACTAGCAAATAGCCACAAGGCCACTTTATATGCAGTTTTATATCAGTACAACGTAGCAAGCAAGTGAGGCAGAGTAGGCACAAGGCCAAGAGCTGAGCAGAAGCATTGATGGTAACTACACTGAACGAAATTATTGTCCTTATGCCTTCGAGCTGTAAGTGAACTGCCTTCATATGTGAAGTAAACAAGTTTTGTAGAAAATATATTGCATACATGTTATGCGTCTGACTGTTTTCAGTTTGTGAAAGTTACCTACAGCCCCAAAGACACCCGTCACTCTAACGAGACTGCACTTCCCCCTCGACACACCACACGGACAAATGCTTCCGAAGTGTCGCGCACATTATTTCGTGCGCTGTTAGATCTAGACTAACTAGGTACAGAGGAGATTACGGGTAAGATCGACGATCGTAGAGTAGCGCTACCACCCCCGCAACATAAAACGCCTTAGCGAGGAGAAACAGAAGCGGATCATGCAGCTTATTGCAGAGGGGCATAGTTACCGCCAGATTGCTAAGGAGGTGGGAGTTTCAAAATCTGCCGTGCATGATGAGCTCCTCCGCCACCTCGGCTCGAAATCGTATGACGAAACCAGGTCGGCCGCGCAAGTTACCAGAGAAAATCGCACGGATAATCGTTTGGTCGATAGTGTCTGGTGAATCGAAATCCGCCGAGGCCGCAGCGGGAATGATAGCCTCAACGCACGGCATCAGTATGACGGGAGCCACCGTGAGAAACACTCTCAAGCGGCACCGTGTTAGGGCGATAGAAAAGTCGTCGAAGCCCAGATTATCCGCGAAAAACGTCAAGGACCGCCGGCAGTGGGCCAAGGACCATCAGCACTGGACGGTCGAGGACTGGAAGGGCGTTATCTGGAGTGACGAAACGAAGATCTGCCGCTTTAGTAGCGACGGACGTAGTTGGGCCTGGATTAGGGAGGACTGTCACATGGAGCCTGTCAGGATCGAGGATCGAGTTCAGAAATGAGAATGTAAATTGAATGATCACCTGGGTACAACACGAGGCTATATATAGGCTCGACACAAGGGCCAGTAACCAGGTGTTACGAGAAGGTTCTGCGGGTCGCGAAGCGTCTCGAACAGACCCTTCCCGAATTCGGTAGAAAGCAGTTCGGTGGCAACCGAATAGCTCCGAATTCGGTGTAACCTAGCACGGTGCTTATAACTATAATAAAATATAGGAAAGCACCTAGCCTAGGAATCAAGCAATTCATGCATGCAGAAATTAATCCTAAGCTAGAAGTAGCGTAAGGAAATAAAAGCAAGCATGAATAACAAGCATAAGCCGTCGTACTCTCACACGTCCCCCCCTCAAAGCTGGGTGGCGTGAGATACACCCTGCTTGACAAGATAGTCTTTGAGAGCACGGCGTGCGTTGCCCATATCAGCTTCTGCAACCCAACTGTCCTCAGTGGGGTCGTATCCCTTCCAGCGGATCAGGAACTCGAGGGTCTTGCCGCCGCGGCGCCGATGAGTGAGAACGCGCTCGATCTCGTACTCTGGTTCATCCTGCACAAGTACAGGTGGTGGTGGCGGTAGCTGCCATCCCTGGAACTGTTGGTTGGGGTCCTTGTAGGGCTTCAGTAGCTGAACATGGAAAGCATTGTGAAGCTTCCACGTATCTGGTAAGCGCAAGCGGAATGTTACTGGTGTCACCATCGCCTC